TATCATTCTCTAGGCGACGAGCCTCCTTTGGAAGGTACTCGCTTGGCACACGGCCGACATAGAAGATCTCTCCGGAAGCCACACTGATGAGTACGGCGCCGACAATGTTGTCGCAGGTGAGGCCGTGCAGCCTTGTAAGATGGCCTATACCACCCTGTAGCCAGAGTCCGGCTCCAACACTTGGGCGAGATCCTAGAGGTACAGTGAGGTCCCCTTCGAGAGTTCTGCGGATGATATTGACTGTCTTGCATCCAGCACCAGCGACTACAAGTGAAGTGAAGGCAGTTTCTTGGTCCTCTGCACCCCTAACCTTTTTGAGTACATGTATGGAGTCGAAAGCACTCATGTCGATTGCCACCACATTGGATCTGTGGCAATGCGCGCTGTGTCCTCCACCGACAACAGTCAGGCCAAGGCCGTGCTTAAGTGCCCACTGGACGCAATCTTGCACCTTCTCAATAGTATCTGGCCTGACGATGGCGGCGGGGCGTTGTAGACGAGCTTGCTGGTTCTTCACCGGGTTCTCTTCTGGCATCGGACCCACACGCATCTCTAGTTCCTTCACTTTGTCTGCATGGTGATTGAAAGCCAACATGACTTCAGGTGCGGAGAATAGAAGGGTTTCGGGATGGCCGTCGTCACGGCGGGCGAGATCACGACATAGCTTTCGCCAGTGCGCTAGAACAGCGTTGTCTTGGTCGGTGTCTTGCATGGTGAAGCCAGCGACGAAAGATGCGAATAATTCCAGTGTGTCGTCGTCATCTGATACGCCGACGAAACCGGTGGGATAGGAAGCCGTGTGGTGGCAGGCTAAGCCGTCGATGTGAAAAATACCGTCACGACGGAAGACTGCGACGATTCCATCATCGAGGAGCATGTTCAACGCATGCTTGATGAAACGGTCCTGCGGCTTCATACCGTACATGCTGTGACAAAAGAGAACGATGTCGTACTTCTCGATATCGGCACTACCCGGCGTGTCGCCGTCCGGACCGAAAGGAGTATGGTAGATGACAGGATTACTCTCCAAGCAAGGAAATGGAGCTTTGGAGGTTGTATCCGTCTGCTCATGGTCCCGCAACCAGTCTTCCCGCTTCGAAGCGTAGATGATAGGATCACTCTCCAAGCAAGGAAACGGAGCTCTTGAGGTTGTATCCGTCTTCTCGTGATCCTGCAACCAGTCTTCCAGCTTCAGAGCATACAAGACTTTGGGTTCAAAAGCGTTGTACTTCCCAATCCTCTCTCGCAGGCTTCTATGTAGATGTCCGAGAACGCTCTTGGGGCCCGGACCGATCTCCAGAACTGAGATCAACTTGTCTGACTGGTGTAGAGGAGATAGGAGGTAGGATAGCTCTGGGATGATGAAGTCGCGGTAGATCGCCCAACCGGGTCCTTGCACGAAGGTTTCGAAACCCGCGGCGTATTGTTCGTCGGTCAAGGGCTCCCTTGGAGAGTTGACGGAGGTTTTGGTGTTAGCGACTCGCTTCAAGGCTCGCTCTAAAGTGTTGATCGTAGCCATGATGGCTGATGGTGATGCACGAGTACTCTGGAGATCTTTGCAATGCCAGTATCAAGACGAAATGAGGCTGAGTTGAATTGTGAATGCTACTCGACCAGCCGGGAAGCAGATAGGCTTTGTGTGGACTGCATTGTTTGTGATCATAGTGGTCGCAGTGGCAATGCACGCGTCTGCCCTGCTTTGATGCACGTATCCGCCCGTCGGAGGCAGACGACACCGGCAATGCACGTCTACTAAATGTAGAAAGATGCTTGACTACCTTGGCTACTGTAACGTGTATGGATTGGACGTATCGCTGTATGTTGAATCTGGTACCCGATAGGTCAAGGTGAACGTGTCTTTCGCACAGAATCTCACAGGTTGTGATCTATCCGATTTTGCACTCTACGTACTACGTAAAACAATTAGCAAACACTTGAAGAGTACCAAGACCAACAAAACGCTGCGCTCAAGATCTCGAGATGTACAAACCCCATGACTGTGCAATTGGCCGTGTAGTATGCTTTGTGCTACGAACAAGGGGTCGTTCGTGAAATTGCATAGCTCGGATCCAAAGATTGCTGTTCGGTTTTAGCAGCGATGAAGACTGATAGCGAGAGCTCTCTTAGCCCTCCATCATAGGCAAAAATGTAGAGCCCTCATTCCGAAGCATCAAGTCGGTGACTGACATGAGGCAAGAATTGCTCCACAGCCTTGAGCATACACTAAAAGCATCGTGATCAGCATCTCCTAGAGATAAGGTATCTCCAAAAAAAAAGAGGCGGCTTCGAAGGTGTGATACACCAAAGGTTTTAGATCCAAAGGATCTACTCCAAATATTTTAGATCCAAGGATCTATTCCAAAGCTTTGACCCAAAGGCCAGTACCAAAGGGGTAGGTATTGAAGGGGGGACACAAAGGTTCAACCCTTAAGCCCTCAACACCAAACCGATAACACCAAACTTGACCACAAAGGATCAACTCCAAATCTTTGTACACCGAAGTGACAACTCCAAAGCGTCTGCAGACTGATTCATCGGAGGTTTGAACTCCGGACCTTCAGTGTACTAACAGGCTTTTGAGGGCCTTTGTTAGACTGACGTGATAACCAACTACACCAACGAACCGTTATTGATGAAAGACGGCAAAAATAGTTGCAAAATGTCAGCCACCGTTTTGCCTCTGAGAGATGAGCTCAGCTCCTTCGTAGCAAGCCGTACAGATGCTGGCGATACGATGGAAAAGTTTCTGTGGTGCGGGGCAGATGCTGAACCAGTTTTCTTCCGTCGTGGGTCGAAGTGGTTCGCCCCACCAACGACTACCATGGTGCGATAGAATGGAGTATAGTCGTAATGGGTTCGCTTGACATACGATCGGGTATGCAAACAGGTGTGGCTAGTCCGAGTATGTTTGTGTTGTTCATCGCGAACCTTCAATGAGTTGCCCGACCGAAGTTTAGCATTGGGTCTGTGGGAACACCGATGGACTCGCATTCGTAACTATACGTTTGCTTCTGCTTCAGAGCTGAAGAGAGCTTAGTCGTTCGGAGCGAGTGCTGTCGTGACAGGACTTTGCGTTTGTGGAGGAATCTGCTGCCGCACCAAGCATGCCATTATTGCCTCAGGCATTTTTGCGCGACTTGACGCTACCAAGCTCAATTACCAAGCTCGGCGACAGCTTGGGAACGGGTAGTTACCAGCTAGCAAACAGACAGGCGGGCGGTCTGCATCGCGCGACGCGGTTGGAAGCTACCGTTCGGGTGGGAGCTGTAACGTGGCTTGGTACGGCTGGGCGACCAACGGCTGTTGCTGACGGCGCATCAAGCGAGCGTAGTCGTCATAATGTTGGCTGGTTCGCGTCCGTGATCGCGATAATAGATCGAACAAAATATGGGGTACTCCGCGCGTGGTGTTGAGCTTGCGTGTGGTTGTTGGGGCTGTAGCTGTTCGGGACGCGTCCACGCGTGCCCAGAAGATCGCGGAGCGGGATTAGCAACGCCGACAGTAACAAACCTCCGTGCCCCTACGTCTTCCTCATCGTTCACTCTTCACCATGAGTCCAGAATTCATGCCGCTGGAGAAGCCAAGCTGCGCGTAAAATTACAGCCAAGAACAAATCGATCGACTCCAGCGCATCTAGGCTGTGGGCTGCAGCACAGTCCCGCTCGAGCAAGCACACGTCAGCTGCACGCGCACCGTTCCTCACGACAAGTACCATGACAAGCAGCGTTCCGAGACTGACGCTGTGCTTCCTGCATGAGTCTGGAGACGATGCGAATCCAGCGACGTCCCCGCCGGCCAAGACATCGATTTGTCGCACCTCCGTAGGAGTTCCAGCCACGGGGTAGCGCACTAAGGCCGATCTGGAAACCACAGCCTAAAAGCAGACCACATCTCAAACCTCACATCGCGTCTCTAAGGCTGCGACCCCGGCACTTGGCTCCGCTCAGGTATTTACAACTCCACTTGTTCAAGACGCCAAGTGTTGCGATCAAGGCTTGCCCCTTCCAAGCTCATCGCCGAGCCCTGTCAGTCTGGCCCCTTTGCCCCAGACGAACGCTGTGGAGGAGGTCTGCCTAAGGGTCGCATCTTGCTTGTGCGCGCCTGAAAATCCGGCGATCGATGCTCATTGAGGTAGACAACCCCTCGATTCGCCCCTTCGGCCACCTCCTGTATACCGCCGCTACTTGGCAAGTCAGCCTGAACGAGAAGCTATAGGCTTGGTGCTCTAAGCATTACCCAGTCTCCTTCTATCGCTGTCAGGGCTTTAGATTTGGGCTTGGCCAGACTTCAAGCAGTCAAAAGGATTTATGTGGTACGCGTCAGTGTTCGGAAGATCAGTACTCCAAGACCCATTATTGGGCCCCAGTGTGACAAGTGCATCGTTCACTCAACATGGAGTTGACCTCATGTGCCTCAGGCAGATCGCTCTCCACGTGCACTCGAGGAGGAACTCATCCATGACTACGTTGAGGCCTGGACTAATCACACGGCTCAGGACCGCGGTCACTGGCCCACTTGCAGTACCAGAACCATGCATTAGCCCCGGTAACTAAGGACGCTCCCCAGGCTTATCCGACCTTGGCTCCGCATCACAAAAGTTTTGACCCAACATCAAACAGCGGGAGAAGCTTGGCATGGCCATCGACGGCAAAGCTCTGCCATGGTATGCTTGCCGCTACTTGGCGTAGCCTCAAGAAAGTTTCATGCCTTGACAGTTGCGGTTAATTCATCTTGGCGGGTAACGACGGTGGGCCTGCGATACCATGACTATGGAGACTATGGAGACTCAGTGGTTTGCGTATAAGAAGACAGTAAACCCACTTCTTCTATTCTCCAGTCCGGTCACTCACTTCATTTCACTACCAACTAGTATTCACTTCTGTCGCCGGGCGACTTCTATCACTTAGTACATTTTTTGATCATCTAATCGTTCATCGAACCTCAATCATCCACCACTACCTTACCACCTAATCGAAAGATCCAACCACCCAACCGACAAGATGCTTCCTCAACACGTTCTCTTCGCGCTCGTCGCCACTGTCGCTGCCGTCCCCCTTAACATCAACTTGGGTGCCTACTCGCCTGCCCTGGTAGTCGGTGATGGAGAGATCTCGCTGGGATCAACAGAATCAGCTTCAGAGTTGATGTCTACGCTCGCTTCGGGAGCCGCAGCCAACGCCGGTGGGGAGGGCGCCGCACAAGGTCAGCAAGAACAACCGGCCGCCGAACAGCCCGCAGCTGAAGGCGAGCAAGCTCAAGAACAACCAGCTGAAGGAGAAGCAGCTAAACGATCCAACCTTCGCCGCGCCGTCAACGACATCATCAGCAAGCGTGCCCCCGTCGAGCCCAAGATGGCAGCCGTCGAGGAGGCCATGCAATGGATCAAGCGCGACCTCGCTGGCTTCAACGCTGCTCTCGGCTACGCCAAGGAGGCCCAGAAGGACATGCCCAAGGTCGAGATGGGCACTGAGAACGCCGGTGTCGGTCTTCTCGTCAACCCCGGTGTCAACGTTCCCAAGGACTCTGCTGCCGCTGGCGCCCCTGCTGAGAAGCGCAAGCGCGATGAGGTCGTCGAGGAGGAGGACGCACCCAAGATGACCCTAGTCGCCATCACCGAAGTTTGAGCACTATACCCGACTTTGCATTTCAGCTAGCACATTCTTCCTCCAAAAGACATGACGCGCCATGGGAGGAGGAGTGATACACGACAGTCATGTCACAAGCTCGATCTTGTATTTTCCGAGCGCGAGTTTTCTTTTCAGCAAGCATCAGCAGGATCACGCGTACTGCGGACCGGAAGATGAGGAGTTTTGGATAACGGTATTGATGGATGGATGGACGAACAAGGCAATGGAAGATGAGATAAAACGTCGCAAGATTTCAATAAAGTACTATTTGATCAGCCCTCAGTTCCAACATGTGTTCTCACTAACACAACAGCATCCCATCTTCTGCAATTCGCAAGCCGAGAGTCCACTGTTCTCTTGGTTCTAACCCAGTTGCTTGGATTCCGCCGCTTCACGACTCATTCCACTGACACCCATTGACATTGCATCCGCATCTCCCGCCTTGGACGTTTTACTCTCGTCGCCTAAAGAATCCGCAAAGAATACCGACCTCTAGTCTCAAGTCGCATTAAAGTCTCAGTAACGTAGCTTACAGCTCTTGGCAACGCTGCGGGTTCAGGGTCCAGGGTCCCGGGTGCGGAGCGTGAAACACTACCCTGTCGCGTGGTCTGTGCGGTCGGAATGGCCTGGCGAGGCCGCCGGTGGGCTGAAGGAAAACTTCGGTTGCGTCGATGCTGAACATTTCGATTGTGTTATTGAGTCTGTGGACTGTGAAGATTGTACAGTTTGACTGTGGAATGTGCTGGCAGATCTTCGCGGTTTTACTGAGGTAGTTGGCTTGAATCGTGTGGAAGTCGCAACTCAAACAGTTTGGCATAGACATTCGGAACTGTTCGCCGAGGCAATGAGAAGAGCGGAATCAGTAATCAGATGTGTGCGATGCATAGCACGGAGTGCCTTTGTCTTGGATGCGTTTCCGCTTCTTCGGTGCTCGCTCTCTAGGACTCTACAAAGCATGCTAGTCGAAAGCAATTGATTTAGATATACTCGCGTTGTCAAAATGACATGCCAGCACGTACGTGCCTACCGCTTCCAGAATCGCCAACCCTTCGCTTTCTCCCTCTTCTCAGCACTACCGATAACATTGCCAACGACCTTCTGATCCATCTGATCCAACTTATAGTTCTTGAGACAAAACGTCAACGGCACGATGGGCGCTGCGCAACAAAGAGCTCCAATGAGTAGGTACCGCATCGTTTCTTGGTACGCCTGATTGATAGCAATACGGACGGGGGATCCGGCAGGGTAGGTAACGTAATCTGCTGCGACTACGAGACTGCCGTAGATGGTCGAATAATCCGCCACGTTCTCCGCGGGAAGGTACTGCTGTAGTTTAGCGGGGATGTATGTTGACCATATGGCGCCTGAGATTGCTGATCCTACTGCGCCACCGACTTCCAGGATGGTTAGCCAGACTGTTGTGGCGGCTGCGACTTGTTGATGGGAGGCTGATGCTTGGACAGCGAGTTGGACAGGGACGTTCAGGAAGCCTCCGCCTATTCCAATGGCGATTTGGGTGCCAACGAGGGTACCAGTAGAAGCGTCTTCGGTTCGGTATGCCAACATAAGGCCCATGCCCATCAGGTAGATGGCTGCGCCCAAAGTTGTGTAGTACTTGTAGTGCGCTGTGTACTTGATGAGAAGTGATACTACGATTGATGAGACGGTGGAAGCGAAGGTGAAGGTTCGTGTGATATATCCGGCTGTGGAAGGAGATTGGCCCTGGACAATCTGGAGGTAAGAGCTGAAGTATGGGAAGACCGACATGTAAAATGCCACTGTTTCATTCGTCAGCATCAAGCTATAGTATTGTTTGCATGGTGCTTACTGAAGTAGAAAAACGCGATCAAGACACCGGCGATGATCGTTCTTTCTTTGAAGAGGTTTGGTGGAAAGAATGCCTTTGGTGCCAACTTCTTGCTCGTCTCCCAAAGTGGGAACGCAAGAAGCAGTACGCCGCCAATGACTAGCATGGCAATCATACTTCCATTACTCCACCCACCACTTGCGCCTGGAGCCAGTGTGAGTGGCAACAAAATGAGTGCTATGGCTGCCGCGAACAACAACAGGCCAGATCCATCGATGTCGATCCAGATGTTCTTCAGAACCTGTAGTGTATTGCGCCCGTGGAATGGACTAGGGACATCAAAACCCAAGCTCTTTGCACGTCGCTGGTTCATGAAAAGACTAACAGCCAGTGGGATGAAGCAAACCGGAAGGATGATAGCCCAAATACCGTATCCCCATCTCCAGGTAGTGTTGTTAAGGATCGCTTCTCCTACTTCTGCTCCAGCAAATGTAGTCCAGAGAAAGGGCACGTCGAACAAGGTGGAGAAAAGAGCGCGATTGAGCAGATCCGTAGTATCAGCGACGAAAATCTGTTGCAAAACTCCCAGACCGTTGAAACCAGCTGCCCAGAAGATTTGGGCTCCTGCGAAAGTTTGCACGTTGTTGGATCCAGCTTGCATACAGTACCCGATCGTGTAGAGAAGGATTGTGATGGTAAACGATTCGAGACGTCCAAAGACATCGGCAATCTTTCCCATTGGCGGTTTGATTACCGCTGGAGATGGTTAGTCGCTGCGCTGAGCATGGCGGAAACGAGAAACGAGAAACGTACCGGCTACGACACCCTGCACTACATAGATCGTTGAGACGAGTGAATGCAGCGCAAAGGCACTTGTGGCATATGGCGTCAAAAGACTAGTGACCTGGATCTCCAGAGATGTAACATTGACGATAAGCAGAAGTCTGGACTGGAGTTAGTATAGAGAACCTTTCTGATTAAAGTGATCGTGATGACGTACGTGACGTAAGCGACGATGAGCGAAGTCTTCGTCCACGCCTTGCTCACAGCTTCAATGCGCTTCACACCAGCCTGAGCCGATTCTTCGCTAGAAGTATCATCGCTTGGCGACCGCTCGCGGTTGTAATCGATATCCTTGCCGAAGTTGCCGCGATCAGTCTCGTTGTGAACAACATCGGTCGGGCTTGTCGCCTCTCCAGGCCTCAATGAATGGCGCATGATCGCGTCCAATTCTGCTGGAGGATGTCGAAGTCGCAGTATGCGAGATGCATCCAAGATAACGGCACGGCGGAGGGAACTACTTTATCTGATCGGCCCTGCGTCGCTACATTGCTGATGCGCGCAGGCGGCTGGGCTGCCGTGTCGTGCTATTGGTACACTTATGCCTCGCCAAGTGCAGTGGTGGCATGGCGAAGGCACACACCCACGCGACAGTACCACGAGGAAGTCCGCGGGTCTGTGCAATGACACCATGGCTTGCCCGAGGACCACATACTTGGGTTTGATAGCCTATTACTAGCGATAAGGCAGATCTAATCTGATCCGTTCCAGGCGTTGGATGCTTCTTGGCGTGGAATTGTGGTGTCTTGGAGTTGCCGTGTTACGTCAATGCTCAACCGCGAACGAATTTTCTGCTTGGGGTGGCCTGAATAAATCGACGTTGGCTGTCGGTCACGCCGATGCGCTCACCTCATAAAGTTTTCGGTACTGCTACGTCGTTCGCACTGCAGCTGTCAGCGCCGAATGGGGTTTCATCGCGATCTCAGCGCAGTGCAACGCCGCACGAGGCTGACTGGATACGAATCATGTCTCTTTCCGATGACACCTTCCTTTGCGGTTGCTGCCAGCACAGAGATGAGACTTGTGTAAGTCACAATGAAGTTGCGCTGACGTTCGCGGGATGAATGTTGAGGAGGCTGGGATGAAGCCTGCTGCGAACCCCGACGCGTGCACGTGGCGCGATTTACAGAGAGCGTCTAGCTCTACATGAACGATCTCAACGGGTGCATGCCGCGGCGCAAAACCTTTCACATCAGCAGACGAAAGATGACATTACGAGCACTGGTTCTGAGCGGGAGTAACGAACAATAGCGGATTAACCTGCTTCACCCAGGCCAATCTATCGATCACCGCATCTGCAACAAGCTCACTACGGCTCGACCTCGGATTTCTCCCTCAACCCCTCCTCACTCCCGTCCCTCATAGCCTCACTTCCGCGAATTGCCTCGCTATCCTCTTCGTGCCTCACACTAGCATTGTCAACCATCCCTCCGTTAGTCTCTTTCCTGAGCGCCAACTCCGGGTTTGCGGATTCGAGCTTAACCCTCATATCTCCGCTCATCTCTTCCAGGGTGGGGACGACCCATTTTGCGCTTTCCCATGGCTTGACGCCCATCAGGTACATGGTATCGATTTCCTCGAGTGTGCGCCCTTGGCCTTCGATGACGAAGAAGTATACGATAAGCCCACCAAGGATGTTTGTCCCGGCGAAGACGTAGCCGTAGCGGAAATCTATGGCACCGGTGATGAAGGGCGTGAAGAATGCGAGAAGAAAGTTCCACAGCCAGTTCGATGCCGTTGATAGAGCCATGGCTTTCGCGCGATAGCGGCTGGGGTATAATTCACCGCAGATTGTCCAACTGGGAGTTGTTAGTTTGATGTAACGCGTTGAGGTTTTCCTGAAACTCACATCATCGGACCCCACGTTGTCGCAAAACCGAAGATGAAGAAACAAGCAAAGCAAATCATTGCCGTGGCTGCGCTTTCGGTATTCTCTGGGTTGTCGCGATCAAGGGCGAAGTGACCGACAGAAGCGAAAATGAGGAAGCAGATGAACATCCAGCATGAGCCGGCAATGAGCGACTTGCGACGACCGTAGTGCTCGACGATGTAGAGGCCGTAGAAGGTGACGCCGAAGTTGATACCGTTCTACAGAAGGTCAACACTGTTATGGGTCGCCTTACGGAAGAAGAATGCTTACCAAGATCATCTGCGTAACAAACGAGTTCTTGATACCAGTGCCGGCAAAGACTACGGTACCGTAGTAGAAGCTTTGTGATGTCAGAATGTGCTCACTGGGGGCCATTAGTTGCTTACAAGTAGTTGGCGCCCGTCAACTGTTGAAACATCTGCAATCCCATGCCAATTGCCAACCTGTATGCCATCTTCGGCGCCATCCACATACCCAACC